GAAGGGAGAGGGAAAGAGAGACAGAAACATCAATGAGAGAGCATATCAATTGGCTGCCCCCTGCATGCTCCCTACTGGGGATTTGGCCCACAACCTGGGCATGGGTCCTGACCAGGAATTCAACCAGAGACCATGGGTCGATGCTCAACCACTGAGCCACACTGGTCAGGCAGTCCCTGAGTTTTTAACAGGAACCAAGCACATTCTCAGTTGTTCAGTACCTTTCGTGGCCCCATAGAAAACCACACCTCATTGCTCTCCTTTAAATCTTACCCATTCTTCCAAGTCAGATACCAATTCCACAAACATAGGTTAATAAACAGCACAATGGTACTCCTCTTACTTTATAGTAAGCCAGTGGTTCTCAAACTTCCTAATGCCATGACGCTTTAATACAGTTCCTCATGTTGTGCCGACCCCCAACCATAAAATTATTTTCGTTGCTACTTCATAACTGTAATTTTGCTACTGTTATGAATTGTCATCGGAAATATGTGTTTTCTGATGGTCTTAGGTGACCCCTGTGAAAGGGTCATTCAACCCCCAAAGGGGTCGCAACCCACAGGTTGAGAACCGCTGTTAAGTAAGCAGAGTCCACCCCACGCGAATGTATTTTATGTTGCCTCAGAATTTTTTCAGTTCTTCTATATATACAAAAAGCAGTCTCACATGACCGAATTAGACCACACTCTTCTAAAGAACATGTCCTATGTGTTTCATTTCCAACTGTCCTACAACAAATTTCAAATACCTTAAAATCTTACCACTATTTTAACACACACACGAACACATACACACACACACGTCTAAAGCAGTAATCATTTCAATGATTTTCCTTACTTAGGAAGTAAACTAAAAAAAAAAATCAAAAGACAAAACATTGAATAAAATGCCCTAAACAGAAGAGAGTTCGAAATTTCTTAAAATGAGGGAGAAAATTAAAAATTGACCAACACAGACCCTGGCCAGTTTGGCTCAGCGGTTAGAGCATAGGTCCCTGGACTGAAGGGTGTCTCGGGTTCGATTCCCAGTCGAGGGCACTGTACCTTGGTTGCAGGTTTGATCCTCGGCCCCGGTGGGGGTTGGGCAGGAGGCAACCAATCAATGTGTTTCTCTCACATTGATGTTTCTCTCTCTTTCTCTCTTCCTCCCTCCCTCCTTCCTTTCCTCCTCCTTCCCTTCCACTCTATCTAAAAATCAATGGAAAAATATCCTCAGGTGAAGATTAACAAAAAAATAAAATAAAAAAATAGACCAACACATGATTTGTTTTTACAAAAAAAAAAAACGGCCACAGAATCCAATAGCTGATATTATGTATTTTATTTATTTATTTTTTTTGGGTACATGCCCCTAGCAGGAACCAAACCTGGGACTCTCTGGTCTGCAGGCTGATGTTCCAACTGCTGAGCCAAACCAGCCAGGGCAGATATTATGTATTTTAAATAGTGACCATTAATACTATGGACAGCTGAAAACAGTTAACACATTTAAGCAGAAGTGTTCAGAATTTTATGTTTACAATAAAAAAGCCACAAAACACCTTGGCTAATACCAAAAACTTCTTTTCTGCTTACATTTTTGGAGAAGTGACAACTAGAGAATTTTAAAACACAAGAAGCATTAAAACTCTAAAGGAAAAAAAAAAACATCACTTAGTGTGTCAAAAATTTACTGACGTTCCTCACTCAAAACCAGCCAGCTCATAAAGGAGGCCTAGTTTCCTTGACTGTCCTCTTGGGAGGGTGGAAACAAGCGTCTACAAAATGGTGCTCAAGGCTGCTGGACAGCATTCCAGTGTATTACTCAAGTCTGTTTGTTGTGGTACTTTAAAGGCTTGTGCCACAATGGCTTCGGCTCCATCCAGTTTTTCACCACCATATAAGTCTATCAAGCCTTTACAACAGGTGGCCCTGGAAGCTTGTATAAATTTACCAGGTCAAAACTAAAAAAAAGAAAAAAAGATGCAACAAGTCAATGGAGTTGTCATATGACAACAGCCTACACAGAATTCCTCGTGTGTGTGAGAAGCTCATATATAATGCCTAGGTAGTTCTAGTGGGGTAACAGCTTCCTCTACAGCTGGCCAAACAGATGCCAAAAAAAAAAAAAAAAAAAAATTGAGAGAATGCACTAAAAGATGTTAGAGAACGGAGCTAAAAGATCCAGGCTTTTTTCTGTACCCTAGGACTATAATTCAATAATCACTATCAGTGTCAAGTTAGTAACATAGTATCATATGATGGATCAGAAGAATCTAGGTCACCTAGAACTTAAACTACTTTCACAAGAACATAAAACTACCCAAAAAAATGACTTGAAAAAGTCCTTGCAAGTTACAAGTACATGAAAAAAATGTCCTCAAAAAGGGAATGAGTAGCCCTGGCCCATGTAGCTCTGTGGTTAGAGGGTCAACCTGAGGACCAAAGGGTTCAATTTCCAGTCAGGGACACGTATCTGTGTTCCAGGGTCAATCCCTGGTCCTGGTCGGGGCACGTGTGGGGAGGCAACCAATCAATGTGTCTCTCTCACATTGATATTTCTCTCTCTGTCTCTCCCACCAACCCCCACTTCCCTTCTTCCCTTCCACTCTATTAAAAAATAGGAAAAAATATCCTTGGGCGAGGATTAAAAAAAGAGAGTGAGAGAGAAATGAGTCAATTAAAATATGTAATTAGGTTCATTCACCTCAAACTCATCCCCATTCAAAAAGCCAGAATTTAGATTACTCACTATGTGTTTCCTTGGTATCCATTCTCAAAGAGGTACTGCCATTTCTAGCACCAAATACATTTAAATACTTTGTCTCAAAGATGAGCCAAAATATCTGACAACTATTATGAATATTTGTAAAGATTTGCTAGATCAAGTTACCAGTAGCTAGGGGGACAAGAGTAAAAGACGATCCTGATTATAATCATGACCGGACAAAACACACAAACTAGGAAATGGGGAAACCAGTGACAGAATGCAAAGCTGGTGAATTATTTGCCCAAATGCTACTGATCCTAGTGGCCAATAGTCCACACACTTGAGGTGGTTGCTGAAACTGTCTGTCCCCACCTATTCCCAGAATCTGGGATCTCTTCTCAGATACTGGATCTCTTCTCAGATACTTCTTCTGATTGGCTGCTTTGGAAGCTTCAGCTCTTCTGGTCCTGCTGTCCCACCCTCTCTCATAATTGCAGGCAGCCTGGTGGTCAAGCAAATCCCTCCAGGAACCTTCAGGGTGTGAACCATCAAAATCACTACAATGCTCTGGTCACTGTCAGCCACTGAAATATGGAGCTTCCTAAACACCATCAGTAGTTACTTCACCTAGAGAAACTGAGGGGTTTTCTCACCCAAAAGGCAATCTCTAAATTGCCTCACCACCATTCCACGGAGTCCTTAAGCTCGTACACAGCAATACTCACTTCAGGTAACAACTGAAGACTTCCAATGCCATGGCCCCAAAAGGTCTCATGCCAAAGCCTCTTCCTGTGCTGTGTTCACTCCCTCAGAGTTACCAAATAGGCATTACAACCTCAAAGCTGTTTCAGAGAATAGTCACTGCTTTCCCAGCCTTTGCTGGCAATAGCCATCACTGATCCAGAAATGGGCTGCTGCCACCACCACCACGTCTCTGGCTTCTTTTGCTGAATTGAAGCCCTCAACACCATAGAAGTGATCAGAGCTCTCTGAAAGGTCACTAACAACTCTTTAAACCACAACTACCCAGACAGTTCCCAAAGCCCCTGCCACTCATGGTCCTGACATACTGCACCTACCAGTCAATGACATCTCCTTAGAAGCATACAGTTCTGACCTAGGCTGCCTCAAGGTTAGCCTTTCAACACTACTGTTCTATAGGATAATTCCTAACAGGTCTATCCATAAGTTAGACAAGCTACTCTCTGGATTCCATGAGTTCCTATCTACATTACAGTTGTTGCTCTTGTGTATAGACTAAGCAACTCATAGGACTGGTTAGGAGATGTCTTTGCTGCAAACAGCTCTTCCTAAAAGTTCTTCCTACTCTCCCAGAATTTTGCAATGTGTGAACAAAAATGTCCATAACCAGTCACAAAGTCCCCAGTGGCTGAAGTGGTCAGAAGTATCACACCTTGGGCCACTGCTCTTAGGCCCCACCAGGACCATGAACTTTAGCACTGGCCCAGGGCTAGAAATGATCATTGATTTTAAGTAAGCCACTAAGTCAAAAGAGATGTTGTAAGAAAAATCACCCAACACAAGTGACTGGCCTTGCTGGCTAGCAACCAACTCACTCACACATAAAGCAACACTGGAGAAAAGCAATTAACATGTACACAGGAAAACAAGAGTTAGGATGATACAGGGGAGACAAATGCAAGGGTATTTTCTTTTAAATATGTTTTTATTTATTTTTTAGAGAGAGAGAAAGGGAGAAGCAGAGAGAGAGAGAAACATCAATGTGAAAGAGAAACACTGATCAGCTGGCTGTCTCCTGAACACCCCCAATGGGGAGACAGCCTGAAATCCAGGCATATGCCCTAACCGGGAATTGAACCGGTTACCTCTTGGTGCACGGGATGACTCTCAATCCACTGAGCCACCCCAGCCAGGCACAAGGGTGGTTTCTTAATCATTCTATAACAGACAGAGTCATAGCCAGGAAATTCAGGAAGTAGGAAAAATTATTTCTGTAAATAAACTCCTTCACAGTAGGTTAAAATTTCTTTGGAAGTTTATTCATCATGACAGTAAGAATTGTACTCATATAAGCAACTGGATAAATAACAATGCTGTAAAAAGAATGGGGTTTTTTGTGTTGTTTTGTTTTTATTATTTATTTTTAAATAATAGCATCAGGGTATTTTAAGAATAGCATACTAAAAAAAACAGATCTGCAAAAGTTATTAAAAGCAGGAATGAAAGAAATAGCATAGAATAATTTGAGAAAGCAGATATTATCAAAGCAGTGACAGGAGATGAAGGATGATGCTTAACAATACCACACACTCCCTTTAACACCATACCTTATCAATGGCTTTTCCAACCCGAGAAACACTGCTGTGGATGTCTTTGTGGTCTGAGGCCAATTTTTGAACAGTATCCTTTATTCTTTTACAGCACTGTGTCAAGACAAGTGAAAGTGTCCCTGACAATTCAGTGTCTTGGCCTATAGAAAAAAAAAAAAAGAAAGGAAAAAAGATTGGTTACTAAAACAAACCCAGAGATGGCACATTTCAAATACGCCCTTTGGAACATTGAAAGATGGTAGAAAAGGGAAGAAAAGTCAGTGTTTGCTTTGAAGCAGAGGACCACATCCATGATAATATTTTTCAAGTGAAAACTAAGACAGTTATCTTAATATTTTTTATTTTATGGAATAAGAAAATTTTACCATGAAATAAACCACTTTTGTAACGATTAAATCAGCATAGACTGTGAATAATACTTCAAGGCATTTTTCAGAAAATGTCTCAATAATTCATTTATTCAATCTGCTTAAACTGTTCAACTCATTCTCAAAACATTTTGATTGTTACTAAATTTCCTAAAGAGAGATTAGTCTAAATGCTCAAAAAAAAATTTTTTTTATCCTCACCCGAGGATATTTTCCTATTTATCTTCAGATAGAGTGGGAAGGAAGGGGAGAGGAAAGGGGGAGGGGAAGAGGGGGGAAGGGAGAAAGGGAGGGAGGGGAGAGAGGGAGAGAGAGAGAGAGAGAGAGAGAGAGAGAAATATTGATGTGAGAGGGACAGATCAACTGGCTGCCTCCTGCATGACCCAACCAGGGCCAGGGACAAATAGCAACCCAGGTACGTGCCCTTGACCAGAATCAAATGCGTGACTCATTGGTCCTCAGGCCTATGCTCTAACCACTGAGCCAAACCAGCCAGGGCAAGGAACTGAAATTTTTTTTTAAAATCCTCACCCCAGGATATTCTTACCTTTATCTTTAGACAGAGTGGGAAGGTGAGGGTGAGAGACAGAGACAGAGAGAGAGAGAGAGAGAGAGAGAGAAAGAAAGAGAGAGAGAAATATCAATGTGAGAGACACAGTGACTGGCTGCCACCCGCACTACCCCAACTGGGGCCGGAGATGAACCACAACCAAGGTACATGCCCTTGGCTGGAATCAAACCCGGGTCTCTTTAGTCCATGGGCTGACGCTTTAACCGCTGAGCCAAACCAGCCAGGTATAAATGCTTTATATTCTATATAAAGAAGTAGAAGAAAAAAGTAACAAACTTCTTTGGATATCATGATCTGCAGAAATGAGTTAACATAACAGGCCTGAGATTGCTATCCTTAGAAAGGCCAGATATCAAGGTTGACCCTTGGCTGGCATCTGGGAACTTGGACTTCAAAAGTGTTCCCACTACCCTAACTGAAAAGAATGAATCACTGTGCCTAAACTGTTGGTACAATGTGGTTTATGCTAAACGCCTGCTTTCCTTCTGGGAGTCTGGAATTTGGTATGTGCTAGGCAGAGGAAATTCATGTGACCAGTCCCCAATAAAACACCTTGAGTATAATGTCTCTAATGAGCTTCCCTGGTAGAAAACACTTAACACACATTACAGTTTGATGATGGCGGAATTAAATGTGTCCTGTGTGACTCCATTGGAAGAGGACTCTTAGAAGAGTTCTCCTGGGTTCCTCTGGACCTTGCCTCATGCACCTTTTCCCTGAGCAGATTTAACTTTATACCCTTTTTTTTAAATCCTCACCCAAGGACATTTTTCAATATTTTGTTCAGATAGAGTAGGAGGAAGGGAGGGAGGGAGGGGGAGAGAGAGAGAAACATCGATGTGAAAGGGACACATCAAGTGGATGCCACCCACATGACCCAACCAGGGCCAGGGACAAACTGCAACTAAGGTATGTGCCCTTAGCGGGAACCAAACCCAGGTTTCTCTGGACCACAGGCCAACGTTCTAACCACTGAGCAAAACTGGCCAGGGCGCTTTATACCTTTTTGCTGTAATAAATCTTGCCCATGAGTGTGACTGACTACATGCTGAGTCCTGTTTGTCCTCCTAGTGATCAAGGGACACTAAAGATGCCATCATGAGACATTTGGCTCACACAATAAATTAAATAAAATTTACTATAGCTTATGTCCTCTTTCCCTGTGCTACCTCCTCAGAAGAAGGGAGAAGAAAGGAAGGAAGGGAGGACACATTCAGCTATATTTGTCAATTACCTCAACAATCTACATATCTCCACTGGTAAGCAAAAGGCCTGGTTTCTGAAATCCTACTCAATATTACAAAGCAGTGGTTCTTAAATTTTAATTCATTTGCATCATAACCACCTGGGGACCTAGTTTAAACAAAGTAGTTGGAACTCTCTAATTTAAGAGGTATGGTAGGATGGGGCCCAAGAATCTGAACAAAAATAAGCTCAAAAGTACAGTAGCCCTAATATGTTCATTCATTCAACAAATACTTATTGAGCACTCATAATGTGATAGGTATAGCAATAAAAAAAAAATCACCAGTCCTGGTCGGTTTGGCTCAGCAGCTGGAGCACTGGCCTGCGGATCAGAGAGTCCAGGGTTCGGTTCTCACTAGTGGCACATACCAAAAAATAAATGAATAAATAAAAATAAAATGAAATAAAAATCACCAAAACTCCCTGCCCTAAACTTACCTTCTGGTGAGCAACATATATAATACACAAAATAAGTCAATTTTATAGTATGAGCAATTTTATAGCATGAGTCAATTTTATAGTATGAGCAATTTTATAGTATGATACATGCTACTGGGGGTGCAGGGGAAAGCAGAGTAAAAGAGATGGGAGTATATGTGGGTTAAGCAATTGTAATCTTAAAATGGGTGGTCATGGCAGGCCTCACTGAGAAAATGACATTTGAGCAAAGACTTGAAAGAAGTGAGGGGTGGCAGAACACGCCATTCCAAAACATGCTTCATTGGCATAAGGATTACTTTGAGAAATAGCAGACAGAGGAAAAACTATGAAAACAGAGTGGATGTTACCCTTTTGAAAGGGAAATTTACATTTATAAAAGAAATCTCCGCCCTGGCCGGTTTGGCTCAGTGGTCAGAGCATCAGCCTGCGGTTCAGAGAGATCCGGGTTCTGTTCCTGCTAAGGGCATGTACCTTGGTTGCAGTTTGTCCCTGGCCCTGGTTGGGCCCTGTGGGAGGCAGCCACTCAATGTGTCCCTTTCACATTGATGTTTCTCTCTCTCTCTCTCCTTCCCACTCTATCTGAACAAAAAGTGGAAAAGTGTCCTCGGGTGAGGGAAAAAAAATCTCCATTTGTAAGGATGTACCAGGAGGACAATGATGGCTTGAAATCACAAGAAACTTTTATCAACTTCCAGTCAACGTGGCACAAAGGTAAACATTGTACTCGCCTCCTCCCACAACCACACCAATATTACAACTAAATTACAGAACAACCATCAATGAGTACTGCCCCAAATCTACCTAAACAGAAATCCTACAACTGAGGATATAAAGAAGTCATTTCAAGACTGGTAGGAGGGACGGAGACACCAAACTGGCTGGTCCAACACCCACAAGTGGCAGTTAAAAATTGGAAGAGATATCTCAGCTGAAGAGGTCACCCCTGAGGGGCAAGGAGTCCCAGCCCCATACTTGGCTACCCAGACTAGTACTGAGAAGAGAAGTCCTCACAACTTCTGGCTGTAAAATCCAGTGGAAATTGTGGCTGAGTGAGACAGGGGCCTCTGGAGTCCCAGGCAGCTCCTCCTAAAGGGCCATGACACACTTAATCAGACTCACTCACTCTGAGCTCCAGTGCAGGGGCAGCAGCTCAAAAGGCGCCAAGAACATACAGGGAGGAACTGAACTGTCTGGTTTCAGGATGAGGGCTGGAGAGGCAACCTTCTCCCAGACAGAAGTGCTGGCAGAGGCCACTGTTTCTTTTCTGAGCCTTTCCCCGATAGAGCTGGCAGGCAGGCACCACATCTGACATCTGAGTCTCTATCAGCCTGGCAAACGCTGCCCTGCTAATTCCCAGAGACCCTGTTCCAAACAACTTGTGTACCCACCTAAGCCACTTCCAGTAGCTTTTCTATACAAACAGCTTATTTTGGCTCATGCTGCAGACATCCCTAAAATCTCTCAACAGTTCACAAACCCCATGTACCTCTTGCTCCAAGCCTGGCACTAGTAGTAGCCAGCCTCAGTTCACAGCTTAGCCTCTCCCAGGCACCTCCAAGCCCAGCACAGGTGGCCAACATCTGCAGACCACTTTGTAGCTCATATCAAGTGGCCCCAGGCAGGACACAGGCAGTGGTTGACCTTGGCCTACACCTCACAAGAGGCCCAATACCAAAACCCCGGTGGCCAGTTTCAGACCACACCAGAGCACCACCCAGTCACACCCAAATAATACATTCAAAGTGCAGGCTCAGCAGTCACCAACCAGAGAGCCCCAATAAAGCAAACTCTGCTCCACATAGTCAGCCCCTGCACAACAGTTCTTCTACTATAGTCACAGTCTGTCCTCACAACCAATCAGCCCAAGGGTCAATTCCCTCTTTGAGGTGCCAACAACAAGCAAGGCTCAACAGGAGGGCACACACAACCCACACATGGGACACTCCTGGCACACCCAGCTCAGGTGATTAAGGAGACTGTGCTACTAGACCCAACAGGGGCCACTCTATCAAGACTGACTGACATAGCATCTCTACCTAATAAACAGAAACAAACCCAGGTAGGCAGCCCAAATGAGGAGACAACGAAACATGTCCTAAATGAAGACAAGCAAACTACCAGAGTTAAAAACACTGGTTACAAGGATGCTCAATGATGTCACTGAGAACTTGAACAAAGAGATAAGAAACATAAAAATGGAGACAGAAAACATGAAAAAGAACTAGTCAGAAATGAATACATTAGAGCCCTGGGGCACCTGATAGCTCAAATGGTTAGAGCATTTTCCCCATATGCCAAGGTTGTGGGTTGGATCCCTGGTGAGGGTACATACAGGAATCAACAAATGAATACATAAATAAGTGAAACAACAAATTGATGTTTCTCTCTCCCCTCCCCTCTCTAAAAAAACTCGATTTTAAAAAAAGAATACATTAGAGCCCTGGCTGGTTTGGCTCAGTGGTTAGAGTGTCAGCCCAGGGACCAATGAGTCATGGGTTTGAATCCAGTCAAGGGC